GTATGGTGGGGGGTGTGGTGGGTGTGGTGTGTGTGTGGTGTAGGGGGTGGGTGGTGGGGTGTGTGTGGTGTGTGTGTGGTGTGTGTGGTATGTGTGTGTGGTGTGTGGTGTGTGTGTGGTGTGGGGATTGTGGTGTGTGTGTGTGGTGTGTGGGGGGTGTCGTGTGTGTGTGGTGTGTGGTGTGTGTGTGGTGTGTGGTGTGGGGGGTGTGGGGGTTGTGGTGTGTGTGTGGTGTGGGGGTTGTGGTGTGTGTGGTGTGTGTGTATGTGTGTGTGTATGTGTGGGTGTGTAGAGAAATGGAAAGCAAGTAAAAGTCTCGTGCCCTCCCCCAGGCACCTCATCTGCCCGCCCTTTGATGGGAAGGACTCTGTGTTCCCAGTGGTCGTAAATAAAGAATAAGCGCTGCATTTTTCCTCGCCACCGCCCCCCAGAGGGGAGGCAGAGGAGGTGAACAGGAGACCAGGTCACCCATGAGATGACCAGACGCTCATCCAGAGCCGGGCCCCGGTTAATCTGGTGAGTTCTTGGCAGTGGCTCCAGGCAGAACACATTAGATGCTGTTGTGCGACTGGCCTGGTGGCCACCTCTTGGTTCTCTGAAAATGTGTGAGCCCACTCTGTGCTCAGGGAGGAAGGCTGCCGTCCTGACCTGTCAACCCCAGGCCCTCTCCGAAATGATCCTCACTTGACCTGGAGGCGTCGGGAGCAAATACAAAGCTCGCCTCTGGTGTCATTGGTGCAGACATAGGAAAAGTAGAGGGTCCCTAAAATGCGACTCCTCCGTGGAGAGACTTTGAAAAGGTGTAGAGTGGTTGCAGATGAACAGCGAAGGAGTGGAATGGACAAATCTCTCTCTTGTTCCCCCCAAGAAGTCCACTCCCCTACAGATTCCTCAGATGCCACGGCTGGCACGGCCTTTCCCAGCCTTGGTGTGGGAGTGGCAGAAATCAGGGGTGTGGCAGAATCATCCGGGTCAGGCCAGTGTCTCCTTCACATGAAGTCAGCCACTACCTTTCCCTCAAGCCTACCAAAGAGCCAAAGTCTGATCTGTAGATGTCCGATAGTTTGGGGAGAAGGAAAGTTAGTCATTTAGAGAAGAGGGGAGTATCCAACTTAGGGTCAAAATACGTTGAGATTACCAGGTGAGATGTGGGTGTTTCTTCTGAGAAAGAGCTCTATCACGCACGGCTCTGCACCACACCCTGAGAGTCCACTCCTGGGCTCACGCTTCTAAATTCCAAGGCTGACAGCCAGAAATATACTTTGTAAAATACCAACAACTTACAAATATTCCAGCTGTCTATCTGCTCCAGTGAGCTTGCTGAGGTTGGGGATGACAATCAAAGGGGAAAAAAATTAATATACAAATAAGCCCAAACCTGTTTAAAGGTCATCTGAAGATCCAAGCAGATGGCTCCTAAGATTTGCCCATACAAACTACCCAGGGAAGCCACGAGAGGGAACTTTAGACTTCTGGAAAATGGTGAGGTCCCAGGTAGATTGCTGCTCCTCCGCCCCTGGAGGCTGAGCCGCCCTCTGCTGACCTCACATCTTCTGGTTTCTTCTGAGTGGGACTTATCTCATTTCCGCTTCACAGCAAGGTGGAATTGTCTGGCAAGAGCTTAAATTAGGACCCTTGGTGGGTACCGTAATAGGCACGTGGCGGTTTGAGATCCAGTTAGATGTCAGAGATTAGTCAACAGATGAGGAAAGATTTGGCCCAAATCAAAAGAGCTAAAAAAAAAAAACAAAACAAAAAAAAAAAACAGATGGTTGATGCAAAAAAAAAAGGCTCATGCAAAAAAAAAAATCTGTGAAAAGATATCAAACTTTTTAATAAAAACAAGTCTGGCCCGGTGCTTGGATGACCACACCTGGCTTGCCTAACCCCAATCCCAGTCCCAGTTTTAATAAAACTGCGTTTACAAAATAGGCACCCGGAACGTGGACCGTAGATACCAATTTGATTTTTTAAAATATTGCATTAAAATATTACATCATTTGTCTTCATTAGTGAGTTTTGGGGTATCCCTTTATATTTTGTATGCAAGGAGAATGCCTCACCCCCCCTTTTCTGACTCCTGGCCTAGAATCTGGGGAAGCTTCCTGACCCGCC